TTCACTGAGTTACGCAAGCCCCTTCGCCACGACAAGGCAGTGATCCATGAAGGGGTCTGATATTCTTACGTTGTCCTAAGAAAGTCCTTTTGATACTGTTTCTATGTAGTTCTTGAATGTGATATCTAAATAAGTGCAGATACTTACCCAAATCCATGGATGACAAGGCCAGCAAAAAAAATAACAAAGAGATGATGAGTAAACCAGAATACTTCAAAGTATGATCTGCGAATGGTCTTGGTGGATGATGTGATAATCAGTATTAGACACAGTGTAATGATGACACCACTAAGGCCAGCCAAGGTTGTGAATGCCACATAGAGGCCACCTACAGGGTTCTGGAAAAGAAAAAGCAGGTTGATAGAAATACATCCATTCTGGCAGACTTGCATAAATTCTTTAGTTTCAAAGCCAGGGAACAATGTTCCAAAAGAAAAAGCATTATGACAAGGGATAGCAGTGATTGCAGGGAAAAATGAAAATCTTTTTGTGTGTATGTGTGAGAAACAATCACCCTCTGATTTTTTTCCCCATCTCCTTACCTGAAGCATTTTTCGGGCAAAATTCAGGTAAGATTCACCTGACTGGTCACCCAGTTTAGACAGTGCAGCCTGAATGGATCCATTTTTTTCATTGCGTGCATCCACCAATCTTTCAACATTAAATAAATGTGCAATTGTATGGATTGCTGGTAAAAAATAAAAATAAATAAAAAGCTGGATATATTATATATTAACATATTAAAGAGATAAAGCACTCTTAAAACGCTTTGGTTTTTCAAATGGAAAGGGGTTTTTTTTTGAAAACTATTTTGAGCACTGAAACATCCTATAAAATATAAAAACAAGTCTTTTTAGGGCATCTACTTTACAGATATAGCTCAATGTTTTTTTCTACTCTTAAGTTGTACACACAGTTATTTTAATTGCATTATTTTCCTCCTAGAGGAATGAGGTGCATTTTCATTAAACTGTGAATAATCACCCCATAGTTTAGTGCAAAATATGAACAAAATAGTAGATATTTTAAGACTGAATGTTTGGAAATAAATATAAAGCGGCACAAGAACTTTGAGAACAAGGTGGAATAAGTGCATTTAATGCTGAAGGAATTTGACAGGACAAGAAAAAAAAATCTTGCTATCACATATTTAGTGAAAAACTGCTAAAGATCCAGTGAATTTATATCAAGATTATTTATTTTCCTTTTTTCTACTTTTTTTTTAAACCAAAAAGACTACAAAGTATTTCTTTTTAATATTTTATATAGGACTTGATGACCTGAGGCATCTAAAATTAAATATAATTATATAGAACAAACTTCTGTTTCATTCATCCTCTACAGCTCTACTGTAGTTGCTCAGCATTTGAGCCTGGATTTATATACTGTACTAAACCATGGCTTGTGTAATTGCAATTTGTTGACCATGATTGGGTTTGTACAGTAGAGAAAGCTAAAAGCCATGGTTTATAAAGCACAGTGGCTAAGTTCATATCATATCCAAGCTGCAGCAATACAGTGATTTAGCAAATGCTTTGTCTTCTTTATTCATGCCTTTCCAGAAACTTGTTCTCCCATTACAAACTTTGTTCACTGTACTGAAGAGATTTTGACATAAAGTAGAACTCTGGAACACCCACCAGTATGTAGTGCAATCATCCAGGCCACCAGTTTGTGAAATGTGAGGTTCCTGTCCAACTGTCTTCTGACACGCACAGAGCAACACTAGAGACACAAAAGAAGAAGTGAAATACAGCAATGCAATCTCTCTCTCTCTCTCTCTCTCTCCTGTTCCTCTCTACTGAGTTAAAGTGCTCTCCACCCATTATTGGGCTGGTACCGAAAAATGCCAGCATAAAATTTGCTGACCTCATTGCCAGTCCCTATCCTGATTCCACTGAATCTGTCTGAAGCCCAAATCTTAAACTCTTTCAGTGCCTTCCTCCTAATGATCCAATCATGAAACCCACTTGCTTGTCCTGTGGAATGTAGCCCTAGTGATTCTCCTGTAATTTTCCAATATTATCAACCAAGGTATTCTTCTGGAGGGACTGCCCAAGTTGGCCATTTCCAGAAGATGGTGCTGGAGGATTTCTGATGTTTATGTTGGAAGGTTCTGCAAGGTTACATTTCATCCCCCAGCCTGTTTAAATATCTATGTGAAAGCATTGAGTGAGATCACTCAGAGCTTTAAATTGTCATCAGCTCTGTCTCTCCTTTTTATCCATCTGGGTGAACAATGGAAGTGCTGAAACAATACATGCCACAATTATGGACTAGTTAAGGAACAATAAATTGAAGTTCAGTCTGGACAAGACTTGGAGCTGTTAGTGGATGCTTTATATGTCTGGGTGTATGGTTTTCAATTTGTTCTGGAAGAAGTTGCACTCCCTCTAAATCCATTACTTTCGTTAGAGGCACAAGTGATCCTATGGCACAAAACGACTTCTTCCAGCTTATGCTAGTATGCCAGCCATGGCCCTTACTGTAGCTCTGATATAGGAGTTCATATCCTGGTAACTTCTTGTTTAGACTACTAAATTGTGTTATATGTGAGGCTGCCTTGAAGACAGTATAGAAATTTCAGTTAGTACAGAATACCTCATCAAGAATACTGGCATTATAAGGCTATTATGCCAGTTTCATAAAATCTTCCCACTTCATTTCTGGTCCCAGGTAACATGTTAATAATAACCAATCAAGATTTTTATGACTTTGGGCAATAGTATCCAAGGATACCTCCTCCAATCATACCTCTTTCAAGGATACCTCCTTCTGTATATTCATACCTAAAATGATCTCTGGAAGCCCTGCTTCAGGCACCTTCCCATGTTGAATGCCAAAAGTGGTTATTCAGAGCAGGCCTTTTCATACCTGAAATATCTAGCAGGAATACCTAGCAGGAACATTTATTGTCTTTTTGGCATCGAAGACATTTTTTTCCTCTTCTTTCAGGCCTTTTAAGATATCTTTATATTAATTTAAATGTATGCCCTACAGAGAAACATATACTTTGCCTCCTCTTTTTATGGTTTTTAGTAAGTATTATAATTAACTTTTAATTTTGTTTTAATTATTATTCAAACTGTTCATCTTGCAATTTTAAAATACTGTAAGCTGCCCTGGGAAAAATGGGTTTTAAAGCTGGAGATATATCTATAAAAATACGTACATGCCTAAATATATAAATACGTTGATTTGGTTTTAGCTAGGCATCATGTTAATGTGGATGTGTATTAGTGAACAAATAAGGCTGTGTTAGTTTGAAACCATGTTTTGTTGGTTGGTCTACCAATGGCAGTTTTGGTTTAGCATGATTTCTAAATAGGGATGTAGGTTTTGTTTGTGCTTTCTGCTTATTCCTGGTTTGCTTTTTGTGCACCACCCAAACCTCTTTGCAGCCTTCCCTGACCTGGTCATCCTTCAGATGTATTGACGTCAAATTCCAGAATTCACTAGACAGCGTTACCATTGCTGGGAGTTCTGGAGGTTGAGGTCCACACCTCTAGAGGTGCCCGGTTTGGAGAAGACTGATTTTTCCTTGCAAGGTATGAGGAAAGAATACTTTTAAAAATTGGAAAAACAAATCAGAAATAGCTTTTTAAGCCTGATTGTCTTTAAGACTGACTTTAGCTTGTTTCTGGATTGTTCAGAAAACCATGAATAAAACAAACCATAGCTTGGTATGCACGAATGAACCCACTTATTATGGCTTAGCCTTATGTCTAACCCAGGTCACAATAGTTGGTTTACCAACATTATTTAAGAAAAGCCTGGCTTAATAAGATGTGTGATCCAGTCAGTAACAGGGTGGGCAAAAGAGTCCTTTTTGGGTTTCGATCAATGAATCTACTCTGAATAGTCTCATATTTTAGCTGTGCAAAGAAGTCAGAACAACATTTTCATAGAAGCTTCATTCACTATCACAACATTTGCATTAATAGTAGGTAATCTACTAGATTAAAAGAATGGAAGGCAACCTTATTTGCTTAGGATGAGTATTTTTTAAATTAATAATGGTAAATACTTACTGCACTTGAGCCTCTGAGAAAGGAAAGCAGATTTCGACAGACTGGAAGCAGAATTAATAGGCAGTTGAAATTCAGGCATGCTGCGGGTGCCCGAGCCAATGCCAAGTAAGGCTAAACGTAAGACAATAGGACCATAATTAACCAAGCAATATTATTCAAGGATGCAATTAAATAGAACTAAAAGACCAATGGGTTTGACTCCCTGCACAGAGAGGGCAAAACATTAAAAACTATGTAGAGGCTGTAGGTGTTGCTGAGCTATTCTCAGCAGACCTGGCCAACATGGTTAATAGAGAGGGATGCTGGGAGTTGTAGTTTAGCAACAGCAGAGGAGCCATGGGCTTCTGGGGTGCCATTTATAGAAACCTACTGCAATATATATGAACATAAAGAAAAATAGGGAAATCTGAATTAATAGAACACCAACTGCAAAATATTTTGTACTAAGAACCTTTGTATAGTTGGCATAACATTAGCTAATTGACCTCTCTGGTATGAACTGAATGTCACAGTATGGCTCTAAGGGACAGATTCACATTATTTAAATACAAAGTTTCTATGGAGGCAAGACTATTTCTGATGACTAACACCTCAGCTGGTGAGATGAACTTATTTTAAGTGATCCTGTTGATGGAATAGTACCATCTGGCCCAGAGCAGAGGTTATCAGAAGATGGAGCATGGAAGGAAAAGAACCCCAAAGTATTGCTTAAACATAAGTTGGGAAGGAAGGTGTTCTAAGAGGGACAACAGGAAGGGTTTCTCCTAAGAATCTAACTCAGTGTTTTTCAACCTTGGCGACTTCAAGACGTGTGGATTTCAACTCCCAGAATTCCCCAGCCGGCATGCTTGATCAGTAGGGAGTTGAAGTCCACATGTCTTCAAGTTGCCACGGTTGAGAAACACTGATTAACCATTGCATATTGAGATTTAGGAGAAATACTTAAATACTCTGACTACAGCCTACACTGCTTTATATTTACCCAGCTGTACTAGACTAGATGAATTGGTAACAGATTGTTGTTACTATTTCCCTCTGTGTCTTGCTGCAACTCTGTTTCAAACTTCTGCACAAAGCAGGAAGTATCAGGTTCTTGATGAGTTAATACTCTTAAGCAATACCTAAGAATATTTCTTGGAAAACCCGCCTCCCCGTAGTAGTGGCCTGTTCCAGGTTCTTCCTACCTCACTATCACAGGCATTTGCAGAGCAACAAAGGGGGGGGGGGAGGGGCAAAGGAGTCCTCATGCACACATTGTTTCTTCTGCTTTGTAATGGATGTACCAGAGAAAAATGAAGCAGGACTTCCAGTGACTTTGTTTTGGGGAGGTGGATTAGGATTATAATCCTACAATGATGATTTTTAAACAAGGAGTGTTATTGGCTTGATAGTTGATTCAGATATGAAGTGCAAGGACAAAAAAAGGGGGGAAATGGGCTTGAACAGAGACTTCTAAGATTGCTTAATAGACAGCTGCATTTTATAATAGTCAAGCTGAAAAAAGTTGCAACATTTCAGAGAAAAACAGCTTGACTTTTTATCACAGGGGAAGATGGCAGGGTAGTATACATGTACCTAGATGTTTCACTCTCAGCATAATATTATCATACTGTATCATTTGTTCATGATGTTTTTTCAGGCAAAAAACCAGGCTTTTGGTCTCTTAAAATTAACAGCAGAAGCAGCAATAATCAGAATTTCTGTGAAAAGTTTAACATCTAACTTTCAGTGATTCTGATCAGGATCATTTGGGTGGGGCTGGGTTTAACTTTGGCTCTCCCCAGTAGTTTCTCTTCTGCTAAAAGAAGTGGGGAAACAGTATTTTGCCTATGTCATCGTTACTGGGAATGTACAGTTTTAACTTCAAGTCTTTCCCTAGTAGTGGCAAAGAAAAATGTTCAGGGCTTAGCTGGGCCTCTCCAAGCTGCACAGCAAAGAGCTGAAAATCACATGGACAACAGAAAGAAAGGACACTTATTGTCAAATTGGGGTGGTGGTGGTGGTGGGAAACTGAGGCAGATCTGGTAACAGAGATCATGAGAAAGTAGACCAGTGTTTCTCAACCTTACTAACGTTAAGATGTGTGGACTTGAAGTCCCAGAATTCCCCAGCCACATTAGCAACTTTAAGATATGTGCATGAACCTGGCTGGGGAATTCTGGGAGTTCTAGCTGACACATCTTAAAGTTGCTAAGGTTGAGAAACATGACTTGATTGACTCTTAACTGAAAGAAAACATTGTTAGGAATGAATACAGCCAAGGGAACTTCAGATCTCAGCTATAGAGAATAAACTGAGGCACCTAGTCATCAAAGAGGAGAGAATCAGAAGACCGATCCTGAAGCACTATTATATGTAGATTCAGGAAGAAGTCAGATAAACTCCCTGGAGCTATCTTTGCCTGCATCTTGAACAACAGGTGGCCATAGTCCAATTGTGGTCAATACTTAAATTCATTAAAATCCATGGACTTTGTGGAAAATAATGCATGGCTATTTTGGTTAACTATCTTGGAGTTCTGAGTTCTGAGGGGCTGCTGGCATTAATGATCTAGTACCATACAGACTTTATGGACACACACCTATCTTTGAGAATACAAAACAGCCACTAAAGAAAAACTGAGGAGGAGGACTCCATGTAATTGAATTGGTCACAGTGTCCTGCCTACCCTCCCTTGTTGGATTTGCAGAGGCTATCACTACTGTCTTTCGGAGCTGATCACCTTGAAAAGTTAGAACTAGCCATATGAGTTGGGAGAAGCACATTTGGAACTGCAATTAGCCTAACTGCAATATCCAGTAAACGTTAGAGCAGTGATGAAGTTAACTGAAACATGGTGACGAATAGCATGTGGCATAGACTTACCCCAAGAAGCTGTCTTGTATAGTAGAACTGCGGCCTACAATCATATACTAAGTAGTAATACCAAAAGAGGAAAACATTTAGACCCAGCCATATTAGCTGAAAGAAGAAAAACAATGCCTGAAATTATTTACAGCCCTTTATAATAGGTTTTGCAGGACTTCTACTATAATTGCAAGATCTAGTAATCAGGATGGGTTCTGGGGACTGTAGCCCAGCCTTTGGGAAAAGCAGCAAAGTCAAAGGTTATGCACCCCAGTTTAAACCAATTCTGCTTTTTGTAGCAGTTTCATTCAGCAACAAGTTCAAATAGCTTCAGACAATAATATTGGATTAGCTACCATGCAGTCTGGGCTTCCTTCCCAAGTGTAAAGTGTGCCATTTTTCAACACTATCTTAGTGTTATGATGGTCTGTAGGCAGGTGATGACACCTAGAACTGCATTGCTGTTTTTGAATTTTCAATCATATCCCCAACCTAATGTTCAGCAAAAAAATGATGCTTCAAAGTACTGGCTACTGTAAGTAGCGCTGCTGCCATTTAATATCCCAGGACCTGCGGAAGAATTATGGCTCCCAGAAGGAGAACCAGGCCTCTTCTGGGCCCTTTCTCCATGTCACTGGCAGAGGGAAGATGATGACCATTCTCTGATTTTCCCAAAGACAGATCACAGCAATGTTAAGGCTGAAAAAAGTACAGCTGAGATTTCTCAAAGTTAACTTGAAAATCTTAAAATCTTACCTTTTGGGGGGGGGGGGGGGTTTAACAATGATTGTCAGTTTCATGAGTTCAGTTTGCTTACTGATCAAGCATTTTGATTATATTTTAGTACATTTCAAAAGTTAGTTATACAGAAAGCTAGTCCATATTGTGGGGTCTATCTGGAAATCTTTTTTTCTGTTATACATGGTTACTTTAGTAACATAAATAATTATTTGGTTCTGAAGGCAATGTCTACAGTAATGCATAATCAGAAATTCTAGGAATTTGGGTAAAAATTCAGTAAACCATGGTCTCATGGTCCAGCCTAATTTCATATCAATTCCAAAGAATTTTGGTGGTATCAAACTGGTTGCCAAAAGGGCATTCAAAGGTAGCTAATAGGAAAAAAAGAGACACAATTAAAAGCATAGATAAAATAATGATATAAAACATAAAACAACTAAAGCAATAAGAAAGATTATAATCTAGAAAATATATATTTTAAATAGGCAGCCAATCTATTCACATAACAATTTATAATAATTGATAACAGGCAGTAATTTCTTATGCAAGCCATTAAATTACTATCACCCTTTAACTAAACTTGGGGTTTTTATTGTATTTATTTCTTATTTTCCCAGCAGGATGGTTCATATTTCACCGAGAGGTCTCTATAATTAATTGTTTTTAAAGCTATAAATTCTTCTTGCTTAAAATACTGCATATATCAAAACTATAACACATTCAAAATGATCAGACGTTTCTTGTTTAGATCCTTTTTTCCATTTCTTGAGTTGAAGATGCTTTTATGAAAGTAAATGGATTTTAGCCCTGGGAAAAATAGTCTTAAAATGCATAATGAATGTACTTACAATGACGCATATGGAGAGTCCCTCGTTCTCTACCCAATTGCCCATGATGGCAGCGAGAACTGATGGGAGGCTGAGCTGCGTTTGATCGTTATGCAGTATGTGCCCTTTTCCCCCACAAAAAAGGAAGTGCAAGCTAAGGCTTGCAATGATTCATTTCCTTATTTCATGTTGTATGTATTAGTTAAACCTCCATGTGTTCAGAATACTTTTAATGTCCACACTATTCTCCTTAGATATTCATACTTAAAAATGGAAACTCATAGAGAATGCAACTGTTGTAGATGCTGCATGCCACATCTCTCTGGAAAAAAGCATGCTTGCTCTAGCAATGTTATAACACCCATTATGGGATTGTAACACCAGATTGCCTATAGGATTGCTTTCTTTTATGGGCAGTTGCTCAAACAAGATATTATTCAAGAGTCTGATTCTTTTTGGCACTAGATAATACCTGTTACATTCACCTAGGTCTTTTAAAGAATGCAGTCACACTGGTGATCTGGTGTTCTTGTTTGAAATCTGAGTGTTAGTTACTGTACACTAGTACTTTTGAATCAGTTCTGGTCATTTTATTTTGCCCTTTGATTGAATGTGAGTTGACATGATTCTGATCAGGGAACAGATCATAGTATGGCATCATACTAGATAGCTTGGTCACAATGTCAATCCAGTGAGTGGTTGCTGTAAAGAGAAGGCAAGTTCCATGTTAGAAATCATTGGAAGGAACTGAAAATTAAATTGTGGATACATTAATCCTCTTTTATAAACCTCTGGAACTATCACACTTGCAATGCTGTCTACAGCTCTGGTTACTGTACATCAAAAATAATATTATAAATATTATAGAACTGGGAAAAAAGTATCGAAAGGAGCAATTAAAATGAGATTTTAGTTTAGAGCAGTGTTTCTCAACCTTAGCAACTTTAAGATGTGTGGATATCAGCTCCCAGAATTCCCTGACATTTTGGCTGAAGAATTCTGGGCGTTGAAGTCCACACATCTTAAAGTTGCCAAGGTTGAGAAACACTGGTTTAGAGAAAAGTAAGAGGAGATATGAGTAAAGTAGATCGTCATTCATGGAGTAAAAATGTAGACAGAGCGTTTTTTTTTTTTTTAATCCTTTCACAACCATAAAATCCAGGTCAATCCACTTCAACCATTGCTGTAAATAAGCAGTGGGGGGAAATTACATAAATGTGGAGATGGAGTGAAATTACAAATTAACAAAAGCCTTTTTCCCCGCCCCCGAAAGATGGAAACAGTGGACAGTTCTGTTTCTTCACTATTGCATGATATAGCTATCTGCTCTCCAACTCACCTTTAGTGATTCATTAGATGTTTTACTGACTAAACATCATCTTAACATAGAGGTATTGATGTTTATTTAATCCCCTTCAGTCTAATTCTGTCTTCTGGTTTGTGCAGGTGGCTGGAGTCAGTGTGAGTTTTGCAGTATGCTAGGAATGGCAGAGATTTCCCAGAATGGAAACAATTGTTTTACCTTTCTTCAAATTATCTCAACATGTCAGGTTGAACAGTGTGTGGTTGAAACCCCCTATTGTACTCACTTTGACTTGCATATCCTCAAGGGGAGCAGCTGCAGACATCAGAGAATTAGGAAATGAAACCCAAACAGCAAAAAATAAATGGCTTTCTAAAAATATATGCTGAACTAATCAGATACCATGTAACAGTGCATTGATTATAAATAATTATAACTTGTTTTTATTAAAGCATCAAACTTTGGTAGACCAAAGTAGAAGTATCATATGCCCTGACAAAAGATAGTTTTAAATCAGCATTGGGTGTTTCTATTGTTTCCAACTTGATTAAACTGAAGAGGCGCCATGAATGTTATCAAAAGAGAAATCTGCCAATTTACATTAGAAGACTGATGCTAGGAGGGTCCCTAGTTACAACTCCAAGATTAAGTCCAATCAAAACAAGGTGTTCTACTTCAAGAATTGTGCTCAAGGCTTGCATATAAATGTCAGGTTACACCCCAAAGAAGGGACAGGGTCCTTTTTCTTCTTTTATGTCCACTTCAGTTGGCATGGCAACCTTGCTATTGTATCCCGGGATCACCATATGATGTCTGATCATAATAAGCCCCTTATGATCAATCAATTTCACTTTCTCCATCTGTTTGAACAAATTTATGGGGATCTACCTTTCAGGTTTTGTTTTGTGAGTCAATATGGTAAAAGTGTTGTACAGGTAAAGAAAAAAATGTTTCATTCAGAAGCTGAACACAGTTAATGCTTCCAATAAAATGAAACGCTTATCCAGAAATCTTCTTGGCACTTGATTCAAAGTTTGGAATGTTTCCAAATTATTTACATGAGCACCAAAGTCATAGAACCCTGCAGAGAGACGAGGCTACCTCAGGTACTTTTGAAATTTTGATGAAATTTCATTTTTATAGGCAGAGATTTCAGCTTGATGCAGCCAATTGTGGGGAAGAATCTAGGAGGTATGGTTGTTAGTTCTTTTAAAAAGCCTCTTTTTAAACAGAGGTGTTAAACATGCTTAATGTTCATTTCTTACATTCATATTTTAATTACATTCAGTTTTCTTTTATTGAAAGTGTCAAGATTGCCTCTTCTCAGTTATAATTGAAATGTTCCAATTTGCATCATTCAGATTTACTGGTACCAACTCACCATGAAAGTATCATATTCCCAAATACTCCTGTATAGGAATCCACCCATCTGAAAATCCACTGTGTCTGCAGTAGGTATAATGGTTTACTCAGCTGCAATTTGTGCAACCTGAAAAACATTCTTTCCGATTTTCTACAAGACATACATGATAGAAGGCTTGAGTCCTATGTGACTGAATTAAAGTAAACCCACAAAAGGATTTCTTCTCATCTCTTTTTTCTCATGCAGCTGCTATTATGATGTGAAACCTCAGGATAATTTTTTTCTTCTCCAGTATCCTGCCATGGTTCCTCCCCCCCCCCCAATTTCCTTTAGTTCATGAATTACAATAAAAAGTAGCAAACATATTTCATAAAACTATTATCTGGAGGTAATAATACATTTTCTATTAGTTTGAATTAGATGTGGGCAGCAACAATCCAGATGACTACTAGATGACAGCAAAGAGTAGAGCAGTGTTTCTCAAGCTTGGCAACTTTAAGATGTGTGGACTTCAACTCCCAGAATTCCCCAGCTAGCCATGAGAAATTCCT